CCCCCCAGTCCCCCCTAGACAGAGAGCATCTGTTCAGTTGGATTGTAAGAGGTATCAGGAGAAGAAGGACAGTAAAGGTTGAAAGATGTCATATTGCTAAAACCACCACCTCTAACTCTTCCTCTGCTTCTATGGAGGCTTTTTCCACATAGAGTCTCTGACTTATGCTTTTACCCAGGTCCTGGTCTGATTTTGCAGGGAAGGTGACCTCTGTGTCCTTGCTAAAGACAGTCAGGTAGAGTAGTGCTTTTGGCATGAGAGTTGCCTGCTGGTTCCTTCAGGAAACAGGTAAGGGAGCTTCAGGAGGAGGTGGTTAGGTTGAGGAGCATTTATGAAGATGAAGACTTGGTTGACATGGTGCGTAAAGGGACCTCTGCGATCCTGGAAGAGAACCAGGAACCACCTCTGAACCCCCAACCTTGAGGTGAAGAAAAGACACAAATCTCTAGTATCAGAGGAGAAGGAGCTTGCTCTAACTAGTGGAAGAAGTGAAGCTGTAGACCCTGAAGGTTGAGAGATTCATGACCAGCACTCTCAAAAGGAAACAAGGGGCAGGGATGGCAATTGATGACTCCATTCTCGGGGGCCAGATGTACCCGTCTGCTCATCTGGCATCATATCTTGGGTGGTCTGCTGCAAGTCAGGGCCCCAAATCTGAGAGGACAAAAATGCATGTGTTCCAGATGGAAGACTTTTTTTTGAATGTCTGTGGGTTAAGGTGAAAGGGACAGAGACAGTAAGGTTGATGACATGGGCATCTACTATAGACCACCAAACTAGGAGATGGACCAGGCTTTTTTAAATAACTCTGAAACATAAAAATCACATGATGCTTAAATAAAGTGGGATCTGATGAGAGGCTAAATTGAAAGTGCACAGGTAGTCCATCAAGTTTCTGGATTGTGTTAGGGACAACTTCTGGCACAGATGGTGGATAAAACTGACTAGGAGGAAGATTTTTCTCATTTTGCAACTTACTAATAGGAAGGAGTTGGTTGCGATTTTGAAAGTGGGAGACAACTTGGATGACAGTAATCATGAAGTGATAGCATTCTTCAGGACCCAGAAAGATACTGGAGCATACCATTAAAAATGTACATGCAAACATCTAGAGGGTAACAAGGTGAGAAGTTACAGACAACATACCTTTGTCAAGAAGCCATTCCTCACCAACCTGATTTCCTTCTGTATCAGGCTAACGTATGTAGTTTGCCTTGACTTAGCATGGCTTTTGACATGGTCTCTCATGACATTCTCATAAGAGAGATAAGGAAATAGTGTAGATGAGACTACTAAAAATGGAGGTGTGACTAGTTGGAAAATTGTGCTAAAATGGTATTTGTGAATGAATGAGACAATGTCAGGCAGAAATAAAGTATTAAAGTGGGGTTCTCCGCAGGTCTATCTTCGGTGCAGTACTGTTGAATACCTTCATTAATAACTTGGTGCAGGGCTAGCTAAATGGTGGTCTGTAATGGCCCCTAAGGAGTTAACCTGTGGCCCCAGGGTCCCAGTCTGGGTGCTGCCCCACACCAACCCAGCTACTGCTGCCTCTGAACTGTCCAGCTCCCTCTTCCTCCTATATCTGGCACCTGCCCCTGCCCCTGGAAGTAGCGCAATGTTGTCTGTAGGACCAAGGGAGCCTGTGGCCAGCAAATGGGAGGGACCCAGGAACCCCAGCACACCTCCCCTCTTGCCCGCTCCTGGTTGATCGTCTTTCAGGTCTCCTGTTTCCCCACTTACCTCAGGGCTTTGGTCTCCATCCCCTGGCAAACCTAGTTTAAAGCCTCACTAGGCTAGCAAGCCTGTCTGCAAAGATGCTCTTCCTTCTGTTTGTCAGGTAGATTCCATCTCTTCCCAGAAATCCTTCCTCTTGGAAGAACATCCCATGGTCAAAGAAGCCAAATCCCTGCTGGTGATACCACCTGTGCAGCCAGGTGTTGATTGCAGGATGCACCTGCCCCTGCCCAACCCTTTCCTTTGACCGGAAGGATCAACGAGAACACAACATGAGCCCCAGACCCCCTCACCCTTGCACCCAGAGCCCCATAGTCACTCTTGATACTTTCAGGGTCAGTGATAGCAGTATCATTGGTGCCCAAATGGATGAGCAGCATGGGGCTAGAGGGCCGGATAAGCCTTGGTAGTCCCTCCATGACATATCAGATCCGGTCTGTAGCAGTCTGGCTGTGGCAACACAGAGCTCAAAACAGGCTGCAAAACCTGTCTGAGAAGCAGGGTAAATACCTGCCGCAGCTAGACAGCAATGACTGCAGTGTAGAAACACCTTATTCTCTCTGTGAATCTAGTTGTTAAGAGAGCGATGGTTTTTAGGATTAAAACAAAAACTATTAAAATTAAGCAGATGCACCAACAATGAAAGTTATTCCTGGATCACGAGATATGAAACATTATCTTTCCTTTGATATAAAAACCTTGGGAACAAAGATTGACTTGAAATATTCTTAAAAGCCATGGGACCAGCTATGTGATGTATTTTTAGCTGTACATCAATAAACTGTTAAAGCATATGTAGACTAGATATTTGGCACGGGTAAATGACTTAGCTCCATTTAAGTCAGTGGATCTAAATCAATTTAGATCTACCAAAAATCTGCCCATTCATATTCATGTTTAGAAACACCTTTAAGGACAGGTGGGATTGTGGTCGCTCAGCTCAGAGCCCTAGTGTGAAGTGTATCTCCTGTTGGTTATTCTGTGAATGCAAACCAACTTCTAATTCACAAAAAAGCTAACCCAGTATCCTGCACAATATACCTAGTTTAGTCACTGCTGTCTGTGTCTTGAGCTGTGCTGATTGCTTCCTGCAAGGTCATTGAACCACCCAGCATCTGATGGGTCACGCTCTGTAGCTCTGCTCAGGCAAAACCTGCTGCTGTTAAAATCTACATCAGTATAGTAGCAAAAACCAAATAGCAACAAACAAACCTTTGGCTTCAACCCTTTAAATTTTTTAACACAAAGTAAATAACGCCAGCTCACCCCAAACTGTCAGATTCCAGATACAGAATTAATTTACATGCAGAGCGGGAGCTCGCAGTGTCGGGAGATCTTTTTTTTCCAACAGAACCACTCAGCTGAAACAACAGCTATGACTCAGTTGCCAGCAAACGCTGCCTGAATTGATTTAGTCTGAGTTCAGATTTAGCACATAATCATGTTCAATTTGATCCAGTGTGCTGCCTGGAGATAAAAGGGTTGAAAAAATAGATTTAGCTTATGTCAGTCTTGGTGGTGATGTCATGGCCACGAGAGGCAGGATAGTGCTGTTAGTATGCTGTGCCGGCTCCGTTGGTGGGTGTGTGTGGCGAAGGCAAGGAACAACTCCGTTAAGTGCAGATAGCTTGTGTCAGAGGCTTACAGTTGTCGTCAGCACTGAGAGCAGAATTTGGGACTCTTCAAAAGCAATACTGAATCGGAAATTTCCCAGTCATTCATAACTCTGAAGCTGCCTAACTCTTTGTGTGCAAGAGGGGGGGATGCCAGCCCGTAGCATGGACTGTGATGTCTCCACTCTGGTTGCCTGTGGGGTGGATGTGGAGATTTTTACCAATCAAGAGGTTAAGGTATGCACCTGCAATCCTTTTGTTTCAAATGCTTCTCATAAAAGCCTTGACAGCAATAGGAATTGGTATGTAGCAGTTTAAAACAAGAAGGCAGATGAAATCCTGCTGCACTAGTAAATACATATGCAGTGCATGAATATCAGCATTGCAAGAAATGAGAGAGTAATGATTGCTTTCCAGTCTGCTTTGATACGCTGACAGCACAGCCTTTTGTTTACTATTCAACGATAAAAGAAACATTATATAACACGAGTCAGTGCATGTTTCATCTCGGTAATAGAATTGACTCATTCTTAATTTCTCAAAGATGTGTTTATTACAGTGTCACTTTTGTAGATGTGAGTTATAATAGGTATCAATTGCTGCTTGACAATTCAGACACAGGAACAATACGTTAGTTTAAGGCTTAGCTTTGCTATATCTTTCTCAGGTGATTTTTTTTTCCAGGTTTTTGCAGCCTTTATGCTTCTTGCCTTTACAGTCAAATCAAGCATTAGGTATTTTTAAAGGATTAAAATTTTGTAGCAAGTATTTTTACTATGTCTGCAATGTAAGTATATATAAAAAGTTAGATGTCTTACGTACAGTATGAATGACTTGAAGACAATACTTAATTTTATGTCTTAATATGCAGTGCTTATCTTCTTTGATTTCCTGCAGCAGTTGTCTAATTGTCATGGGTAATTGCTCACTGATGAAACCAGTTCTTTTCCAGTTTTATTATATTACAATAAAAAGAACCCCAACAAAGTAAGATTTCAAAAGACTCTTTTAAATATGCCTATTTTAAATATGCCTTTCACAAATCATTTCAAAGAGCCTGAGGACATAATTCAGTGAGATTCAGCAGTTTATTTAAAGGGCACAGATACAGCCAACCAAATGTATTGCACTGTCCTACAGTTTTGGAAGAATGCAGGAGGAAAAAGGGAAGGCTCTGCTAATTTGGGCCAGATTGTGAAGCCTTTCTTCCATTTATGCCCATGAATAGTCCTCTGAAGTCAGGGGCACTATTTGTGTGACTAACTGATCATTTTCCAACAGATGGTGTTTTTTCATTTGATACTTTCTTTTTCTGTAAAAGTGTGTTCATATGGTATCATATATAAATTGCACAACTGCTTATGATTTACCAGTAGGAGACCCTTTAATTTAAGAAACCAGTCTTTTCATGCAAAAGCCTTAATGCAATTTGTGAATGGATTCAGATATCTAGTTGCTGGTTTGTGGCTGTCTGAATGACAGTACTCCTGTCAGCGCTGTGACATGTTTTTTGTAGTTGAAGGGGTGCAGTATATTTTGTTTTTTGTAGTTGAAGGGGTAAATGTTTGATAGTGCTTATGTTGCTTCACCTAAAGTATAATAGATTTGACGTTTAGAGTCTTAACTGTATTTGTGGGGGATGGGTTCAGAGAAATTCAGATTTTTATGCTGCATGCAGATTGTCCATTAAAGGTACTTTATACTATAGTAACGATAAGAGTCAATAGAAAGACGCCAGTTGACTTCAGACCATTGTGAGCAGCAGCACCCTGGGGGAATGACTGAAGAATGTGGGGAAAAGAAGGGAGCAAAAGGTTAACAGCAGCTTAAAGAAAGAAATTGGCACGTGGCTCCACAATTTCGTACCACACTGGTTAAGGGATGGTATTGTGCATCGGACTGGTTAAACTTGCTGTTAGCTTACATTACAACTTCTTTCATTCAAATTGTGGAACAAATTATTGGGAGGAACGACTCTAGGTATTCTGTATTGCAGACTGCATTGTAACATAGAGACATCCAAGGTAGCTAAAACTATCTGACTCAGATACCGGAAGTAGTGTAGCTGCAGCAGCAGGGAGCTGAGCTTAGCCTGATTTACCCTTGCTTCTTGGCAGGGTGATTTGGCTGCCACCGAGCTCCATGGTGCTGCAGCTAGACTATCTCCGGCACCTGACCTAGCCAGCTACTAATACATTACACTGCAGTCTGCAGGGTAAGAATAGCCATTGTTAATGATTCAACGTTCCTGAGATATAAGGGTGGAGAAAGCTATTACTGTTGGTGTCTTGTCCTCCAAGGAAACGTCAAGCAAAAACAAGAAAGATAGTTTTCTAAAGTCTGCTATGAAAGGAGCTCAGACATTATGGTGATGGATAGACAGTAATATAAAACTTTATGGTTGATGGATAGATGGTTAGGACTTGATAGTTCCATATTTCTAAGGTAAAAAGAAATAAAATGGAAGAAAAATCATTTTTGGAGGGAGATGGGCATGAGGCTCAAACCAAAATAGCCAAGTGAGGCTCCCCAACCTTTGCAAGTCAACTCTGAGGCATCAGGAGATTGGAAACTGAAGATCTGTGTTCATATTCAGGCAGTCCTTGCCTACAACATTTCGAGTTACAACGTTTTGCACTTACAATGTTTATAAATTGACACCCCGTTTCAACTTTATATGACGCCAGTTTCGACTTTACAACGCTTGATCCGATGCCATGCCAAACCAGTGAACAGGTTTGCTGTGTCGCCCATCTCCCTGGAGAACATCTGTCCAAACTTCCTTGGACACTTTCTTTAAGAAAGCAGACAAGACTCCAGAAAAACCTGCAGCCAAGACTCCTGAGAAGGCTCCAACCAAGAGCCCTTCAAAAAGTCCAGCAAAGTCACCTCAAACAAGTCCTTCCAAATCAATACGATTGCTATTTACAATATAAATACATTATTGTAGCTATATTACTCATCTATAACTGATTGAGTACAAAATTCTGGGGTATTTTTGGTGAAAATAGTGTATTGGGCCTTGGATCAGGAACCAATCCCCCATTTATAACATTATTTCTTATGAGAAAACTGGTTCCGAGTTGCAACGTTTCGACTTAAGACGTGGTTTTCAGGAACCAATTGTGTCGTAAATCTGGGGACTGCCTGTAATCTAAGGTACTGCATTCTAATACAGTATAGCTGTACTGTGGGCATGCCTCTCCCTTCACATCTGAGACACATTATCTCAGTAATAATGAGGAAGTACTAATGGGTGACAATTTTCTTATGTGTATGGTATATTGTAGGTTACTAGGATTCTCAATCTGGGCTAAGAATCCTTTAGGAATAATTTTTCTGTGCCAGTGAAGAGAACTTGAGCCTCAAGATTTCTATTGATGCAATGGCCCCACCCAGTTTATTTCATTTACATCTAGTTAAGGAGATTAAATGAAGCTCTGGAGGAAACTGTGAACTATACTAAGCTATCCAATCACAGGTTTCAGTCTCCTGTTCCCTGTGAGTTGCTCCTTAGAATAATAAGTGGCAGTTCAGAGAGCAGGTAAAACCAGCACAAACATCACCATGTACCTTAGAACAGAATCATTGAATCCTAGAAAATGATAGCTGGAAGGGACCTCAGGAGGTCACATCTAGTCCAACCCCCTGCTCAAAGCAGGACCAGCCCCAACTAGATCATCCCAGCCAAGGCTTTGTCCAGCTGGGTCTTAAAAACCTCCAAGGATGGAGCTTCTACCACCTCTCTGGGTAACCTGTTCCAGTGTTTTAATACCCTGCTTGTGAGAAGGTTTTTCCTAATGCTTTTCCTGGACTTCCAAGGGAGGTGGTGCTTTCCCCTACCTTGGAGGTGTTCAAGAAGTGATTAGACAAGCACCTACCTGGTGTTACTTAACGCCAGCGCTCTTTACTGCCTAGAGCAGGGGGTCAGACTCGATGATTTACAAGGTCCCTTCCAACCTTAGAAATCTATTAAATCTATCTATAATATCTAATCTAAACTTCCCTTGCTACAACTTGAGATCATTGCTACTTGCTCTGTGATCAGCCACCACCAAGAACAGTTCAGCTCCATCCTCTTTGGACTCCCCCCCCCCCCGCAGGTAGTTGGAGGCTGCTATTAAATCTCCTCCCAGCCTTCTCTTCTCCAGACTAAATAAATCCAATTTCCTTAGCCTCTCCTCAGAAGTCATATGCTCCAGCTTTCTAACCGTTTTCCTTGCCCTCTGCTGGACTCGCTCCAATTTGTCCATATCCTTTCTGTAATGGGGGCCCAAAACTGGACACAGTACTCCAGATGCAACCTCATCAGTGCTGAATAGAGGGGAATAATCACTTTGATTTGCTGGTATTGCTCTTACTAATGCAGCCCAGAATGCCATTGGTCTTCTTGGCAACAAGGGCACACTGTTGGCTCATAGTCAGCTTATTGTCCACTGTAAAGCCCCAGGCCCTTTTCTGCAGAGCTACTGTCCAGCCAGTCAGCCCCCAGCCTGTATCAGTGCATGGGATTGTTCTCTCCTAAGTGCAGGACTTTGCACTTCTCCATATTGAACCTCATGAGATTTCTCTTGGCCCAATCCTCCAATTTGTCTAGGTCTCTCTGAATCCTGACCTTATGCTAAATAAATGTGTTTAGATATAAACAATAGGTGCCTGAAAGATGGTCAAGTTTATTTGACAAACAAAAGAGAGAAATGCAAATCTTAGTATGGGAAACATCCGTGTAAATTTAGCTTGCAAAGTTAAAGAGTTCAGTAATACAATTAGAATCTTGCTTCATTTTAATGCACTCAGTTTGTCATTTTGTTGTAACGTTTGTTACAAAAAGAAGTAATGTGGCTGTTAATTAAAATCTTGCTGATTTTTCTGTTGAAGTTTGAATCTACATTGAATCAATGAAAGAGTAAAACTGATGTTTTTTATATTTATATTTGAGATATTCTTAGATTGCAACCTTGTTAGGTCAGGAACTATTTTTTTTTCAGTGCCTACCGTAACGAAGTGCAATCCCTGATTGGAGCCTCTAGACACCACTGAAATATAAATAATAATAAATATTAATGATATAGGATGAGGAACCTCTTTCTTCTACTGCAGATATAGTATAGTCTGTCTCATAGAAGGTATCTTAGCGACCAGAAAAAGCTCTGCAGTTTATGAATTGTTAATATGCGCAAAGGGCTATATTGCAGATTTACCCCATTCTGTACAGAGGGAGGAGGTGGAGAGAGGCC